GTGGGGCGGCCCCGCCCCGCCCGTGGGGCCGAGGGAGCGGAGCCCCGCGTGCTGCGCCGAGCGGAGCCCGAGCCGGGAGGGCGGCCGGGTTTGGAGCTGCGGAACGGCGCGCCGCGGCTGCGAGCGCGGCGGGCGGCGAGGTGCCGCGTGCTCGGGGCCGCTCGGCTCGTGAGCGCCCTGCGGGCCCGGGGCCGTGCGCTGCGATCGTGCGCTGCGACCGCCCGCCGGCCGGGGACGTCCTGCGTGGGAGCTCGGCGTCAGCCTGCGCCGCCCGGGGGCTTGCAGAGCCCCGGGGAAGCCCTGCCTGCGAGCTCGGGAAGCTCGGGGACGCCCCGCGTGTGAGCTTGGGGTGCTCGGGGCCGCCCAGCCGAGCTCGGTGTCATCCTGCCCTCGCTGCGGACGTGGGGAACCCGGGCACGCCCTGCCTGTGGGCACGGGGAGCTCAGGAGCAGCGTGCCTGCAGGCCCGGAGCCACCCTGCTTCGCCTGTGAGCTTGGGAAGCCCTGGGGATGCCATACCTGTGAGCTCAGGGACACCTGGCCTGTGAACCTGGGGACCTGGGTGCACCCTGCCGGTGACCTCAGGGATGCCTTGCCCTGCCTGCAAGCTCGGGGAGCCCTGGGGATCCCTTTGTGCTTAGAAGGTTTGGAGATGGCCTCTTGTGAGCTTAGGGACACACTGCCCTTCCTGCAGTCTGGGAAGCCCAGGTACACCCTGCCTGTGAGCCCGGTGTCACCCTGCATTGCCTGCAAGCTTGGGGAGCCCCAGGGTTGCCATGCCTGAGAGCTCAGGGAGCTTGAGAGCACCCCGCTGAGAGCTTGGGGTGCTCAGGGATGCCCTCCATGCCCATGAGTGCACACAGTGTCCCTGTGATCAGGATGGTCGGCTGGTGCTGACCCTCTGCAGTTTTGCTTCCCTTGAGGTCCAGGTGGGCATGACATCCTGCTGGGTTGCACCAGGGTGCCTCTGCACAGACAGGTGGGGAGAGATCAGTTCCACTTGCCTAGCCCTCACCTTGTGTCCACATGTGCTGTGTGCAGGAATGGAGCTGTGGACGCTCCAGGGCTTTGCCTGCCCTGGCTTTAGGGTGTGAGCACCCAGAAGAGCTGCCAGCAAGTCCCACTGTGGCTGTGTTGTGCAACCATGGCCAGTTACAGGTGGGCAGTGGCCGGGCACCACGTGGGGCGAGCACCCACTCATGGCGTGGCAGCTTCTGAATCGAGGCATTTCTTTTTCTCCTTTCTGTATTTAGCTGTCACTTTTTAAGTCTCCCCAGGAAGAGCAGCTGGGGAAGGTTACGAGAGGTCCACCACCGAGGAAGCTGGCTCTTCCTCTTCCTTTTCCATTTCAGAAGCTGCTTCCATGCTGCCTGGCCCTGGCGGACTGGCTGCTTCCCCGTGTGGGGCTGCAGCTGGGCGCTGGCCTTGGCGGCCCCACAGCCATCCTTGGGCCCTGGGGGGTTCGGTGTCCCTGGGACCCCTTGGCAGGGTCACTGTGCCGTGCCGCTGGCCTTTGGCACCACTTGGCACCTGGATACATCTCAATGCACCGTGTGGGACCAGCGCTTCTTATCTGCCCCGTGCCGGCCGCCTGCCTCTGCTGTTTTGTCTGCGGCACTGTGTGGCCCTGGCTGTGCCATGGCGATGGGCTGCAGTGTGCGTCATTGTGTGCCCGGCTGTCACCTGGCAAACCCAGGGCTTGGTACCGCCACATCGCCGTCCTCTGCGTGGGGTCAGACGAGATGCAGGGCCACGTGCTGCCCCTTCCCCTCCCGCTGCAGATCCCCTTCATTCTGCACACCCGTTGCCCGTTGTGCTGGGATTTCAGCTCGCCATACTGACTCAGGGCCCCCACAGGAGCCGAGCAGGGTGCAGAGCCGGACCCCCATCCCTGGGGCGTTTCCCAGCCCAGCTGCGGGGCGAGGGCGCGCAGGAAGCAGGCGGGAGCTGCGGCTTTGGGCGGGACGGGGGCTTCTCCTCCGGGAGCTGTCAGCTGGAAGCCATCAGCAGGGCGGAGAGAGCCTCCTTCTCAGGGCCACACACGCCGGTGGCCCCGCGGGGACGCAACCGGCGGTCCCAGCCAGCACGTGGGCACAGCGCGGCACCGCGGAGATGCCGCTTTGCTGGTGAGGCGTCTGCTGGTCCCCTTCCTGCCAGCATTCCAGAGCTGCCTTGTGGGTGTAGAGTTATCCCCAGCCCGCTTCCATCTAGCCGCTCCCCGTCCTGCCCAGGGATGGGTTTTGTTGTGGAGCGAGGTGGTCCCCCCAGCCCTAACGCGGAGCTCCTCTCACAGCCTGGCCAACATCCCACTGACTCCGGAGACCCAGCGGGACCAGGAGCGGCGGATACGCAGGGAGATCGCCAACAGCAACGAGAGAAGGCGGATGCAGAGCATCAATGCTGGCTTCCAGTCTCTGAAAACCCTCATCCCGCACACGGACGGGGAGAAACTCAGCAAGGTGAGCGGGGAGCCGGGTCCACGGCACTGGGCGATGCGTTGGGTGAGCTATGCTGGGAGGAGGGACTGGAGGCTGTGCTGTGTGTGGCACTCGCAGGGAACTCCAGTAGAGATGCTGGGTGGGAGCAGGGCTGCGTCCTGGCTCGGAGTCGGGCTGTGCTGCCTCACCGTGCCCCTGGCTTCCTCCGCAGGCGGCCATCCTCCAGCAGACGGCTGAGTACATCTTCTCCCTGGAGCAGGAGAAGACCCGGCTACTACAGCAGAACACCCAGCTCAAGCGGTTCATCCAGGTGCTGCCCTGGGCGCTGGGAGGGGACGGTGCTGTGCAGACAGGGAAGGGATGGCCACAACTTTGGGTGGGCTCAGAGCACCACTGCTTCTCCTTGGGATCTGGGTGAGACCCCATCCTAGTAACTGCAGGGTGGAGATGTTTCACGCCCTCCTGGGAGGCCAGGGGAGCGGATGGAGGCATTGGCTCCATATGCTGCCCATATCCCCAGGAGATGTTTCTCTTTGCGACCCCCATGTTGGGATGGCCGTGGGGGTTTCGCCCTCCCCGGGAGCTCTCAGCTGTGGGGTTGACACTGGGGATGGCCATGAGAATGGCACTGCCCACCCCCGGTCCAGATTGAGGGGAACCCCTGTGTTCTGACAGCACATCCCTTTGGCAGGAGTTCAGCGGTTCCTCCCCAAAGCGGCGACGAGCAGAGGACAAAGATGAGGGCATCGGCTCACCGGACATCTGGGAGGACGAGAAGGCTGAGGACCTGCGGCGAGAAATGATTGAGCTGCGGCAGCAGCTGGACAAGGAGCGCTCGGTCCGCATGATGCTGGAGGAGCAGGTGAGGCTGTGGGGCCAGCACAGCACCGCCGTGGCTGTGTGTGGGGAGGGCTCGCCCTCTAGCGGGCTGTGCCGGGGGGATGATGGAACCGTAGAGCCATAGGGTGGTTGGGAGGGACCGCACAGCCCATCTGGTTCCGTGGTGTGGGATGAGCCCCCCCAGCTCAGTCCGCCCAGGGCCCATCCGTGGCCTTGTCACTTCCAGGAGTGGGGCACCCACAGCTCTGGGCAGCAGTGCCAGTGCCTCACCACCCTGTGAGTAAGGAATGTCCCCACGCTCAGCCCTGCTCTCTGTCCCCACTTTGCCCACACCGTGACCCTGCAGACAGGCATAGCCCAGCTTGTGTCGGGGTGTGTGCAAGGCATGGGCTGCACTCCCCACAGCTCACCCGGTCCCTCTCTGTTCCAGGTTCGCTCGCTGGAGGCCCACATGTACCCCGAGAAGCTGAAGGTGATTGCTCAGCAGGTGCAGCTCCAGCAGCAGCAGGAGCAGGTGAGGTTGCTGCACCAGGAGAAGCTGGAGCGGGAGCAGCAGATCCGAACCCAGGTGAGTGTGGGTGCACCCCACTGCTCCTCCTGTCCCTGCAGCTTTCCTGTGGGATGAGCAAGGAATGATGTACAGAGGTTAGAGCAGGTCAGTGATGTTCTCGGCGCTTATGGGAGGCTGTGCTGTATGCACAGTGATGTCCCAGCAAAACTCTTTCCTTTAGGGAGTAGAGAAGGGGTTGGTGCAGTGCTGCATTGCACACTCAGCTCCAGGCTGTGCTCCCTGTGCCTGGGGCAGGAGGCAGACAAGTGTGGTGCCAGAATGCTGCCTGCGCTTTCGTCTGCACTGCGCTGCCGCCCCGGTTTGGAGCGGTTCCTTCAGCTGGAGGATCCCAGTGTGGGGAGCTTAAAAGGCAGTGACAAAGCTTGGCTTCCTCTGCAGTCTGGCTTCTGCAGGGATGTTCCCCGCAGGATCCCTCCCGGGGAAGTGCAGCCTATTTTTAGGTGAACTTTCCTTAGCCTCCTGCTAGGGCGGTTCTTTGCATCCGCTGTTTTAGCAGGGAGCTCTGAGGGGTGCGGTGCATTCCCAGCTGAGCGGGTCTGGCCGATCGGAGTTAGTGTGCATGGGCTGCTGGGGTTTGGCTTCAGCCTCTTCAAAAGTCCAAAGCTTCAGGGTATGGGCAGTTCTTTGAGTTCAGCCTTGTCCTTTTTGCTCTGCCAAAGCAATGCCACAGTTTAGCATGTGTCCGTGCTGGGCAGGTGGGCAGCAGCTGAGTTGCTGGTGAAGCTCTATGGTCTCAGTGCTCTCCTCATCACTGCCTTGCCCAGGTGCAGGGGCTCCGCAGCCCTGAGGCTGCCTCTTTCCTGATTCTCTCCTTGCTCCGAGCCTGTTACCTCATGTTTGAGTTGGGCACAGTAGCACGGCATCCCCAATGGCACGGGGACAGCAAGGTCGCATTGGGGTGTGGGGACCTTGGGGGGCTGCTGCTCCCCAAGCACGGGTGAGCCTCACTCCTCTGGGTGAGGAGTTTGGGAATGGAGCCATCGCCCCATGCTGGGTGTCCCGGAGGCTCATGGAAGGGTTTGCTTTGTCCCCAGCTCCTGCCAGCACACGGTCCCCCAGCGCCCACCCACCACCCCACTGTGATCGTACCAGCACCGCCTCCCTCCCATCATGTCACCGTGGTCACCATGGGCCCGTCCTCGGTCATCAACACAGTCTCCACGTCCCGGCAAAACCTGGACACCATCGTTCAGGTAGAGAGCGCCGCGGGGGATGTGTGTGTGTGTGTGTGTGTGTGTGGGGAGTCCTAAAGCTTAGGGGGGATTCGTCACCTGACGGCTTTGTTTGTCCCCATCAGGCCATCCAACACATCGAGGGCACGCAGGAGAAGCAGCTGCAGGAAGAGGAGCAGCGGCGTGCCGTCATCGTGACGCCCGCACGTGCCTGCGCAGAGCCCTCCGCCTCCGACACCGCCTCCGACACGGAGGGCAACGACAGTGACTCCATGGACCAGAGCAAAGAAGACCCTTTGGGGGAAGGAGAGCTGCCCTGACACCCACTGGCCGGCAGCCGGGACGGGGAGCAGGGAGAAGGGGGGAAACGTCAGAGAATATGCTGAAATTTTTAAAAAATACGTCGCGATTTGGGTCTCTTTTATGACCTTTTTCCAATACTGTAACGCTGGAAGCGGGCGCCGTTCAGTGCTCAGCTCCCAGCGAGCGGGGAGAAGGGGGGGCTGGGGCGGGGGGGGGGGCAGCGAGGGGGGACAGAACTGGAAGCGGGGTGCAGCCGAGCGGCTTC